TTTCAAAATGTAAGAACTTTAACAATTGAAGCTTGTAAGAGTATGAAATATCTATGCCCCTATGAAATTTACAGGCTCCTTGTGAATCTCCAACAAGTCTATATATCTGCATGTGAGAATATGGAAACTATAGTACTGGCAGCTCCTTCCACAGAGGACAATATCCATGAAAATGGGAAAAAGATAGGTGGCATTGGCGCGATGACTTTGTTTCCCAAACTACTCAATACCTTCCACCTTAGCGATTTGCCAAACCTCGAGAGATTTTGCCCTGATGCCTATTCTTTTGCATGGTCCTCCTCCACGAGAAATATGAATGTGAGCTTTTGTCCCAAATTAAAGACATTGGGTTTTGCACCACTAAGCAAAAAGCGGCCTGCAATTGCAGAGAATTTGAGTGATGATCATGTAAGAGGTAGAGAAGAATCAGGTGGTGCATCATCATCAACTGGATCTGGATGTTCGCCACTAGTATGCTTTCAAAGTCGTCCATCTACTCGCAACTTTACTCAAATATTGCCTCAGGTTGTAAATAGAGAGGTACGCCATTATTCTAAACTACGCATCTCAATATTAGTATACACATATATAACTTACGGAGAGGGATACCTCTATTTTGTAAAAATTGGTCTTAGGTACAGATGTCATTGAAGATAAAGTCTGAAATAGATATTTATTTATGTTTTATTAATTTGAAGCCTCACAATAAGTGAATTTTTGGAAAGCCAAACTTTATATTGGAATTTGAGATATCTTGGTGCTGTGGTTCAACTAACACACACACACGCACAAGAGAAAAAAGAGCAAATAAACAAGGAAGGAATTTCTGTAAAATACGTCTCAAGTTAGAAAATCCAGAAATGTGATATGGGAGAAAACCTGTTCTCTCTAGCTTCTTGAGCACACATTTTGTATATTGTCTTGGAATGATAAATATTAGAAGTCAAGGCTAATTATATCACTCAGCCAAGAATCGGGTAAGCCACACATATGAGAATGACTATGTGGCTTAATCTAAGCCGTACAAATAAGGTAGCATATAATACAACCAAGGATAGAACAAGTTTCTGTTTAAAGTGTCTCAGGACATCTTTTTGACAGAAACTCAACTACACTAGTACAACAAAGGCATTATATGAATACTGGTAACTTGTGAAATGATCTTCTTCTTTTTATATGAATACTTCATTTTTCATTTTAAACAACGTTCTTGATTTCTAGAATGTGATAACATCCCATATGTATATGGTTGAAACACTAACAAATTATACAATTACTTTTCTACCCTTTTGGCAGGTTACGCCGACAAATCTTCAGACTTCAAGTGCTAGCGACAATCTAGAAGATCTCTTTGTAGAAAGGTGCGATTTATTGGAAGTGATATTTTTGGTTCAGGAAACCCCTTCTACTCAAGCATTTGATAAGCTGAGGGACTTGAGGTTATGGGATTTACCAATGCTGAGCCACATATGGGAAAAGGGTTTACAAGTTAGCTCAGGCTTTGGAAACCTCAGATTCCTGCACGTATGGGGGTGTGACAAATTGAGATACTTGTTTTCACCGCATATAGCCAAACTTCTTATCTGCCTGGAGACAATAGATGTTATCAATTGTAGTGCGATGGAGAAAATTGTTGGAGAGGCAGAAGGAGGAGGAGAAAGTATTGAGGATGAATTGACATTTCCTCAATTGAATTATATCAAACTTTTGGATTTACCCGAACTTAAATCTTTCTGCTCTGAAGCTTATACTTTGAAGTGGCCAGCCTTGGAGAAAGTCAAAGTTTATGAGTGTCCAAAATTAAAAGCGTTTGCTCCTGAGTCTCTATATGCATAAGCAACCGACATGTGTCTACTAAGCGTCCACGTGGAGAGAAAAGAAGGTATGTTTTCAATTCAACCAAGCACTCTGGTCGGTCACTATAAAATCAGTAGAAGATATATGTATAGCTTAATATATTTTCATGAATTGGCGTTGCTTTTTATTTTTCTTTGCCTTATCTTTCTCATGTCATTAGTCCATGTCCACGTGTTTAAGCTATCTATGATTTTCTATTTTAATGATAGATAATAATTTTTTATTCTTTATTTTGCATAATCTTTGAGAAGAATATCATCAGAAGCCAAGAAGCTAGGGACAAGACTACATGATATGTTGTGGTGCACATCTACAAGATACCAGTCGCTTTCATCACTGATTATACATGTTAATGTTCCTCATATCCTGCCATTGCATCTCTTTGATCAGATAATTTAGTTATTATCTTTAGTTGTATTATAAAACTGGATTTATTTGGACCTTCCTTTTCGTATGTAATATTACCATATTGAATCTTTGGATGTTTGAATCTTTGGATGCTAATCAAATTACAAGCATGAAAGTTAAGTGTAGTTTAAT